TTCACTATTAGTTCTAACGTAATGAAAATTTATCCAATAAATGTAAAATGTAAATTAGGACTTATAGGATTTGAACCTATATCTTGAGGATTAAAAGTCCTACGTAATAACCCTTATACCAAAGTCCCTAAAATTGCCCACGGTAAGACTTGAACTTACAACCAACACAGCTTCAATGTGCTGCTCAACCAATTGAGCTTCGCAAGCTTAAAAGTGGAGATACTCGGAATCGAACCAAGACAACTAACATGCAAAGTTAGTATTCTACCAATTGAATTATATCCCCTTAATATCTGAGAAAGGACTTGAACCTTTACGGGATTTACCCACGCTATCTTAAGTAGCGACTGTCTACCATTCCAGCACTCAGACATTAGGGCTACAGTGACTTGAACACTGATAAGTACTGTTATGAGCAGTATGCTTTACCGATTAAGCTATAACCCTTAAAATATGCGGCTAAAGGATTCGCACCAATTTCTTCCGGGCATGAGCCGAATATGTTACTATTACACTAAACCGCATTATAGACTAGACAGGATTCGAACCTGCGGTGGTGGCATCGAAAGAGCCATGTCGTAACCACTTGACTACTAATCCTGTTTAGAACATTAGCCCAGTGCAAGTACCGCCCTTGCTTCTATTGATTACAAAACAATTGCATTACTTTTATGCTAACCAGGCGGTATAATGATATATTGAGTATTTAGTATATTATAAAATTAGTACTTTCATCTTGAAAATCTCAAAATTCTTACGGAGAAAGCCTATTTCGTAGTATTCTACTACGTATATTTAAGAAATATCTTAAGATAAGCTTCGTGCCTATATGCTTTCAGCACTTATCTTTCACTAACTTAGCTTTCCTGCCGTGCTTATGCTATTTATTTATCTTAGTGAGAGAAACATCCCTAGTATATTTTCATATACAAAGATAGTATAAATACTATTTAATATTGGGCACATAAACAACAGGTAAACCATAGGTTAATAACTATTTTCTTCCCTTTCGAGAAAAATCTTCTCGTTCCTTTCGTACAAGAGTTAATTCTTATTTTATTCTAATTCCCCCTAGAAGATAGAAACCATACTGTCTCACGACGTATTTAACCCAGCTCATGTAACTTTTTAATCGACGAACAGTCGCACCC